TGAAAGAAAAAAAAGTAATCCAAAGGAAGATTATAAAATGAGGTTCAAAGCACTTGACCAAAAAAAAGCCTTTAAAAAGATATTAAAAAGAAGATACTTGATGAGACACAATTAAAAATAACAATTCAACCTGACAGTACTAAAGAATGCTTCCATTAAAGCAGACCAAGGAAATCCACATCTGTCACATGCAGCTTTATTGAGATTTCATCTTGATCAGTGACTTCAGGAGGTATATGAAAGGTGTACAAATGAATCACTACGTTTGCCTTCTGAACAGAAATCACCTACTTAAGATCAATAGACATCTGAGCAGGAATAAAGATGATAAATTCTACAATGTGATTTTACACTATTCCTCCATATTATTATGTTAAGGGACAACTCTTTCCTTTTTGAATCTGATACAGTGTCCATCTCCACAAAGGAAAAACACATATAAAACCTGCACAAATGTTCCTCTGACCAAATTCTCTATTTTGAAAAGTTCATGTGAGTAGCAAGTCCTTGAATGCACAAGAGTGAATGAATGAATAAGAAGGCTTTAAAAGTAACAACCAAAGTTCAGATGAAGCAGGAAAGGAAGAAATTATATATACACAAATTAAAATCAGCACTAAAAGGTCACGCTTTCACTGTTCTTTTTTCTTAATCTCTTCCTGATTCCTCACAAAGCCAAGTGCTCTAAACTCAAAACACCACTAAATATTCCATGTTCACAGCCATTTCAAACTTACAGAAACTCTTTAGCACTCAAACTCACTCTACAATTTTAACAAAAAGGAAATCACGTAATCTGTCAAATAAATTTTCTATTTTTACCCATCTACTCCCAAGTTCTACATCAACACTGAGAAGCAGGGCTTTTACAAATGAGAGAAAGTAAGGATTAAAGCTTTTGTTCTTTGCAGTACTTGCCAAATAAATAATTTTTTGTTTTCTTCCTGAAAGAAGAGTAAAAAGAGATTATTACAATAGTTAAGTGCCATTTCCCAAGCTCTGAAGACCTTTCCTAACAAGGACAAACATATCAGACTTATTTTGCCCTTTCTACAAATAGAATGCTGTTACATTTACCATTGTTCGGATAAAGAACACCAGGCCAGAAGGAAGTTGTGACTTCATGGCTCACAATAAAATGGTGGTGAACCTTTGTTAGTTGTTATAAAACAGTCTTAACAACTACCATGAAATGAAAATTTCTCACAGACACTGTTCATATAAACACAAATGTGCCTGGTTTTAACAGAAGAGACAATCCTGAAAGTTGTATATCTACCCAATCATATTTTAAATCTATCAGGAAAGTTTGCTATTGAAACGCACTTGCCCAAATGCCACCTGAAATGTAAATACTATTGACTTTTCTTAAAGAAAGGCAAACCTACATTTTCAGGTATTTCAAACACCTGAAAAAATACCATGAGCCTACTATCAGGTAAGCTGTCAGGGGAAGATGCCAAGTGCTATTTAGTTGTGATTGAGATGCAGAAGCAGGGAAACACAGTGGGCAGCAGATAGGTATGGGGAGAATGGTTAGAGAAGAAGATAAGACTAGGAGTTAGAGGTTGGATTAGAAGACTTCTAAGGTTCTGGACAAATTGTGATTGTATTGTAAGGTACATCTGAGCAGTGACAGGGGATAAGTACTGATCAGTTTACATTCCTGTCTATTCTCCCTTGTAAGTGAGATGTTAGATATAGAATCTAAAAGCAGAAAATTAAGTTATTAGACTTCCTGTGATATAAAAACCGACCATGGCTTAAGACTTAGAAATAATCTATTGTAAACACAACCTAGAACTGATTTTTTTTAGAAACACACAAGAGTAATTTGATGGGAAAGAATATGACATCATAAAAAGAATATCTCAATCCCTATTTCACACCATACAAAAAAATGAATTCTAGATGGCAGAAGAAAATACAAAATGTTCTCATTACAAGGGGTAAAGATTTCTTAGGATTTAAAAAGTAGTAATCATAAAAGAAAAATTTGATAAATTTGACTTCATAAATATTTACAACTTTTGCTCAATTGTCAACACTAGGAAAATGACTAGAAAAGCCACAGACTAGAAGACAATGTCCACAGAGCATGTATTTGCCAAAGGACTTATATCCAGAATATATAAAGAATTCCTACAAATCAACAATAAAACGATGTACACAACACAAAAGAAGACATACAAGTGGTCAATAAGCACATGAAAAGTGCTCACAATCATTAGTCACAGTAAAATACAATACCACTACACAAATTCACCAGAATGGCTAGAATGAAAAAGATCGACAACACCAAATGCTGTCAAGAATGTGAAACAAACAGAACTCTCATTCACTGCTGGTAGAAACAGAAAATGGTATGAATGTTTTGGGGAACTGACTGACAGGTTCCTATAAAGTTAGTACCTACAATATGACCCAACAATTCCAATCTTAGGTATTTACCCAAAAGAACTGAAAACATATGTGTGCTGGAAGATTTGCAAGGATGCCATAACAGTTTTATTCATAATAGCAAAATACTGTTAATAATCAAAATGCTCATCAACATTAGGATGGATAAACAATTTGTGGTATATTCATATTTATGCAATGGAATACTACTCCGTTGCAAAGGAACAAACCTTAATCAACTTAGATGAATCTCATACATATTAGGCTGAACAAAATAAGTCATATGATTTCATTTATAAGAATTAGAGTCAGCAAAACTAAACCTATGGTGATAGAAATCAGATCAACAGTTGCTTTTGTAGATACTGACAGCAAGAGGGAAGTCTAAGGAGTGAATAGTGTTCTAAATCTTGGTAGACATGTGGGTTATACAGCTGTATACATTTATTAATACTCATAAGTTATACACTCAAACGTTGTGTACTTTACTCAATGTATATTTTACTTGAGTCTATTTATTTATTTATATTTTTGGCTGTGTTGGGTCTTCGTTGTCGTACGCAGGCTTTCTCTAGTTGTGGCAAGCGAGGGCTACTCTTCATTGTGGTGCATGGGCTTAGTTGCTCCGCGGCATGTGGGATCTTCCCAGACCAGGGCTTGAACCTGTGTCCTCTGCATTGGCAGGCAGATTCCTAACCACTGCACCACCAGGGAAGTCCTACTTGAGTCAATTTTAAAAAGGACTCTTCAATAAAGTAAGAATTACAAATATCGCAATTCTAGTAAGCTTGCATTAACACAGTGTTATCAGTTACCAATTCTGAAACTACATTTTGAGTATCCTAGGCTTCTAAAAAATGAGTAAATATACTAGAGTAGTGGTAGCCAGATTTCTCAATGTTGGCAAAGGAAGATATAAATATAGAAAAAGAAAGGGAATTACAAATATGAAAAGGAGGGGATCCTACTTTGTGCTGTTAGACTGAAATTAGAAGTATCAGTATAAACTCATAGTTTTTAATAGATAGACATTAACATATCTGTATAAGTACATACACATGTGTAGGCATATTTCTACGTGTACATAAATGTGTGTTGCATATACACACAAATGAGTATATATGTGTATATTCACACACACAGACATATACACATTTCCTAGTTCTGCTACAGAAAGGCCTTAGAAACAATAACATACTAGGAGCAATAAATACACCTAGTGTTCCAAAATCTTGGTTTCAACATACCACTATCCAATAAAAGGAACCAGGGCTTCTTAGAAAAATGTTGTATCTGGGCTTGAGCCAAGAAACTATAAGATGAGCCTGGAACAACTTGTTGCACAAGACAAGAAAGAAGTTTTCCACGAATCATGAGAACATGCCAAAGGAACAGCCAAACCAGCTTGACAGAGCACCCAGTAGACAAATCTGGGACAATCTGAGCATCAAAATAAATAATGATATAAATAATGATAGTAATGGACTATAATACATCCAGTTAAGAATCCATGAGTCCATGAATCCATACTGATGTAAGTCAATAAATAAGGGAAGAAGGGAAAGCTTTTGCCTACACTGGAATGAAACTAGTAAATTCATAAGGAACTATGGAGTTAGAAAATCATCAATTGATATTAAATCTAGTGGGTAAAAATTTGATGAGAAACAATGTATTTACATAATCTCAAAAACTGACTTAGAAAATATTTTCTAACTACAAAGGGAAAATAAACTTTTAAGTGGAGAAACTTAGCAGTCACTATCCTAAGCAAGTGATCAAAGCTACCTGGAACCAAGTGACATGTGCCTTCTGACATGATGCACTGAGAACACATCACTTCTAGGATACTTGTGCTAAAACTGGATACCCAAATATAGTCATGAAGAAATATCAGACAGCTTCAAACACAGGACATGCTACAAAACAACCCGTACTCTACAAAAATATTAAGTTCATGAACCATAAAGAAAGGCAAGGAACTGTCCCAGATGAAAGGAAATTAAAGAGATAGGACAATTAGGTGAAATATGTGATCCTGGATTGGATCCTGGACCAGAAAAAAAAAAAGCTATAAGAAACCCTGTGCAGTTGATATTTTATCCTTTTTACAAATAAGGAACCCTCTTAAAAAGGTTGAATAATAGCTAGTACAAAGTAAACAGGACCTGTAAGATATGTATTCTCAGTATTCAATGTATTAGGCAGGTGGCTACCTCCCTGGACAGCTGTATCAAGGAGTTATAGTCTCAATCAAAAACCTTTACACACATTAAATGCAGTTAAAATTAAGTATTTTCTCATATTCTTTAATAGAAAGAATTAAATGGATCACCCTAAGTGTATCAAAGTTGAACATTTCAAGTAAAATAAAAAAGATATAGTGAATATAAGGATATCTGTCATTCATTTATTTTAAAGCAACTTACTTTAAAAGACTTACTAAATGTAAATGAAAGTAAACTCTAGTTAGATGTGATAAATAAAAATTAGAATAGAAGCGACTGTAACATGCAAAAACTGAACCATAATAACAAATAAAAACCCACACTATTAGCGTACTGAGTTCAAACTTCCATACTTACAAAAGGTACACATACCTTTTCCTAAATGTGTGTTTATGCTCATATATCTAGCTGTTCCTGTAAGGCTCTTATGTTCTCTGTATGGTATGTGTTTCTTTGTCTCTGGATCAATATATTCCTTTGCCAAACCAAAATCTATAATATGAATAACTTGCTGGGTTTTGTTTCCTGGTCGTCCTATTAAGAAGTTCTCAGGCTTCACATCTCTGTATATCAAGTTCTTTGAATGGACATACTCCATGCGAGAAATCTTGATTCAAAAAAAAAAAAGATACATTTTATTTTAGGCTTTGACTAGCATAAAATAGTATGATAGAGGCAAGACAATTTTTACAATGAAAACAACATTAAGAAGAAAAAATCAGAAACTGCTTCAACCCTTTAAAAGAAACATGATATCACTCTATAGTTTCTTAAATATATGTCCAATTATGATTAAATATCTTTGCTTTTTACTATTTTGGTCACTTATAAAGGAAAGCGCTTGAATTTTATGAATTCCTTTCTTATCAGGAAGCCTGATTAAATCAACACTTTCAGATGATGCTACCTTATAGAATTAAAAAGCTTTACTAATACAAAATCTTGAACTCAAAAATATAAACAGATATATTCACAAAGTTGCAATTTATTCTTCCTTATCTGTTCAATAATGGAGAAAGTTTTATAATTACACTAAAGAAACTTAAAGAGTCTAGACTGTTAAATAAAAAGAATTAACAGAGCACTCTGTCATCTTTTTTATAACTTGTTTACTTTTTTCCTTAGGTATTAAACATTTAAAAAGATCTTGAGACTAGAAAACTTTGGAATACAACTCTAATAATAATATAATAATTATAATAATAATAATAATATAATACATTCTTATTCATTGCTTTACACATTCTCAAATAATGTTTATTGTATAAACTGCCAGAAAACAGAACATTACAAATAATAAAAGTGCTTCATTTAATGATATTCATGGTTGACAATACAATGTAAGTGAACACAGCCACTCAAGCCATTTTAGTTTGTTAACAAATTTTGGATCATATAACATATACATATACTATTCTATGACCTATACCTCTCATTAACAATATATTATATTTTCCAGGTCATGAAACATTCTTTTAATATATACTTTTTAGTGGCTGCATATTACTTTATGGCTATTAATAATTTATCCAACTAACACTGTGCATTATTTCTGTGCATTCAGGTTGTTTCCCACTTTATTATAGACGTCTTTGCACAACAAGCTTTAAGTACATCTGAATACTTCCACTGGATATTCTGTAGAAGTAATGAGTCAACAGATAAAAACAATTTTAAGACTTCTGCAGCATACACTTACTGGCATTTATTTCAAAACTGCCTTAAAATTATCCTCTTAAGTTATTTCTCCATAGGCTCCTTGAAATTTAAATGATTTATAAGACTTTCTCATTAGTTTGTTTCTTCTTTTTCTAGGCCATTTTAATTTAATACCAAGATTAAAAACCTATGTTTCTGAGGGTTCTCTTCTCTAAGTATTCATTTTCGACCTGAAAAGAGTGCTGGAAACAACTTAATTTTCAAACTGAGCATTCTGACCTTAAAGTAGTAAGATATTAATTTTTTCATACAAATAAAATACACCTGATTCAGCTACTTTAAGTTACAGTCATCCTAAAAGGACAATGATATGAAAAGCAGACATTTTTATTAGGTCAAATGCTGTGGAAGATAATGGCACAAAACTTTAAACTTTCAGTGTAAAGTAGTGACCAAACAAACCACACAACTGTTCAAACAGCTTCAAAACATCCCGCTTTACTTACCAGTTGGATAGCTATCATGAGAACCGTTTTAAGAGAAAATGTTCTGTCACACAAATCAAACAAATCTTCCAAACTAGGTCCCAGCAGTTCCAGCACCATAGCATTGTATTTCCCACAAGGGCCAAAATAGTAAACTTGAGGTATACCATCTGGAGGAAAAGAATAACAATAAACAATATTTTAATAACCTTGTAACTTCAAGAACTGCAGCAGTATTTTTACTTTTTCCATACAAACAATAAAGTTCTCCTGACCCAGCCTCCTCCCTCCCTATACCTTTTCCTTCACGTTCACAGAGTAGCCTGGTTACACTTCTACTGAACCTGCATTACTGAACTACATTATAAACAGTGCTTCATTGTTGGTCTCCACCAACCTCACTATAGAAAGGAACTCTGCCCTTGAGCTTTGTATTTCCATGGCCTACAGAAATGCTTGGCACATAGGAAAGATTTTATTTTTATTGAACAAAGGAGTTACTGCACTCATTCATAACCCTGTGGTAGGCATAATGCTAAGTACAACCCCCAAGATTTCCATCCTCTGGTGTACACAACCCATATAATCCTTTACCCGCAAGTGTGGGCAAGATTCCCAGATTTCACTCTTGTCATTAGATTATGTTATATGGCAAAGGTAACAAAATTAAGATCCCTGTTAGTGGAGGTTAAATTAATCAAAAGAGAGATTATTCTGTTGGGCATGACTTAATGAGGTAAGATGTTTAAAAAGCAAGTCTAGAAGTCAGAGATAATCAAAGCAGCAGAGCAGTTCTCCTGTTGACCTTAAAGACACAAACTACTATGCTATGGAAGAGGGCCACATGCCAGGAAATGGTGGGCAGACCCTAGGAACTGAGAGCCTTATCACACAGCCATGAGGAACTGAATTCCAGAAATAACCAGTGAGCTTGGAAAAGGACTCAGAGGCTCAGAAAAGATTGCAGTCCAAGCTTACACCTTGATTTAAGCCTGGAAAGACCCTCAAAAAAGGACAAAGCTAAGCTATGCCTGGACTCATGACCAATAGAAATTGGGAAATAATAAAATCTCTTATTCTATGTCACTAATTACTAAATAAATCATTATCCAACAACACAAAATAATACAAACTCCAAATATAAAGTCTAAATACACAGAAATCACCTGTATTTTATTTTTAGAACTAACAGACTCCCAATAAACTAACATATAATAGGGGATCATTTTATCTTAACATTGTATCTATTTATTTGTTATGAGGAAATGAACAACTTCCATCTTAAATGTCTCAGTTTTACTTACGAATATTTTTTGTTTTGTTTTGTGTAATGATTTTAGAAAGGAAAAAAACTTTCTAAAATATACTAAAACCTTCCCATCTTTTTTAAAATAAAGAGTATGGAAAACATAATTTCACTCTGTTGTTTATTTTATCATTTTGCATAATAATTATTGCATGGGCAAAACAAAATATTGAACTAGAAGCCAGGATAGCTAGGTTCTTAGTTTGGCTTAATACTAACTATTCAACCTCTCAAGCAGACTTCAGTTTATCTATATTAGTAGTTTAGATAAGACCAGTTTTTCTAAAATGTGAGTATGAGAAAGGCAGCAGAACAGCTGAAGATAGGAAGGTAAGATAATATAATCATGATAGGGGTAGGGGAAGGAGACAAGTTCAAATTGCGTACATGGTCCCCTCCCCCAAAATAGAGATTCTCATACACCCTCATGTGTACACATCACCACCCTGTACCACACCACACCACACACACACACACACACACACACACTTGCCCCTGCCACTGAGAATCATTATCTTAGCATGAGCCACTCTTACTAGAGCCACTCATATCATATTTGAGTCATATCTACCCCCATTATGAGTAAAAACAGATAAAAGGCTTAGAAATACTGGATGAGAGACTCTGACATTTATTCAACTCTGAAATACTGATTTTAGTATGCTATATACATCAAGAGCCTAGAGATGCAATTAAGACTTACCAATAGCTCTCAGCTACTAAGTTTTAAAAAATATTTCTACAATGCTTTCTGCCCTCTATTCCATAAAGTGCTCACTTTTATGCTCTTAATTTAGCAATCTCTTAATAACCCATTTCCACTCTTTAGTTTGTTGCTTCTTGGTCATAAAGATGTTCACCGAACTCAGGAGGAGAATGGATGAACACAGTGAGAGCTTCAACAGGGATTGAAATATAGGAAAGTACCAAAGAGGTTATAACTCAATTGAAAAATATACTACAGGAGTTCAACAGTAGACTGGATGAAGTAAAAGAATGAATCAGTGAGCTGCAAGACAAAACAACTGAACTCATCCAGACAGAGAAGCAAAATGAAAAGTATAATTTTAAAAAGTGAAATTAGGGCTTCCCTGGTGGCGCAGTGGTTGGGAGTCCGCCTGCCGATGCAGGGGACGCAGGTTTATGCCCCGGTCTGGGAAGATCCCACGTGCCGCGGAGCGGCTGGGCCCATGAGCCATGGCTGCTGCGCCTGCGTGCCCGGAGCCTGTGCTCCGCGACGGGAGAGGCCACAACAGTGAGAGGCCCGCATACCGCAAAAAGAAAAAGAAAAAAAAAAAAAAGTGAAATTAATTTAAGAAACCATTGAGACAGCATCAAGCAAACTAACATTTGCATTATATGGATCCCAGAAGAAGAAGAGAGAGAAAAGGGGCCAGAAAAACTATCTGAAGAAATATGGCCAAAAATTTCTCTAATCTGAGGAAGGAAACAAATATCCAGGTCCAGGAATCCCAGAGAGTTCCAAAAAAGATTAACCCAAATAGACATACACCAAGACACATTATAATTAAAATGGTATAAGTTAAGCATAAAGAGAAGATCCTAAAAGCACCGAGAGAAAACCAACTTGTTACATACAAAGTAAACTCCGTAAGACTATCAGCAGATTTTTCAGCAGAAACTTTACAGGCCAGTAGTGAGTGGCATAATCTATTCAAATTGCTAAAAGGAAAAAACTCCCAACAAGAATTCTCCACCTAGCAAATTTATCATTCAGAATTGAAGACAGGATCAAGAGTTTCCCAGATAAACAAAAGCTTAAAGGAGTTCATCACCACAAAACTGGCCCTACAAGAAATATTTAAGAGATGTCTTAAGCTGAAAAGAAAAAGCACTAATTAATAATAAGAAAACACATGCAAGTAAAAATCTTTCTGGAAAAGGTAAATATATAATAAAGGTAGTGGATCAATCACTTATAAAGGAAACATGATGGTTTAAAGACAAGAAGTAGTAAATTTAAATTAAATTCCAATAGTTAGTTAAGGGATGCATAAAATAAAGAGGTAAAATGTGTCATCAAAAGTATAAAACATTGGGGCAGGGGGCTGGAGTAGTAAAAAGATAAAGCTTTGGAACGTGTTCAAATTTAATTTGCTACCAGCTTAAAACAGGCTACTACTTATATACGATGTTATATATGAACCTTACAGTAACCACAGGGAAAAAAACTTATAGTAAATACACAAAAGAAAATGGAAAGAAATTTAAATATAACACTGAAGAAAACCACCAAAACACAAAGGAAGAGGGAAAGAGAAAAAGAAAGGAACAGAGAGGAACTAAACTACAAAAACAACCAGAAAACAATTAACAAAATGACAAGTACATACTTATCAATAACTACTTCAAATGGACTAAAACAGCCAAGAAAAAGACAGTGAGGGACTGTTTAAATTAAAAAAAAAAAAAAAAACAGATCCATCTATATGCTGCCTACATAACACTTACTTCAGGAGAAAGGACTCACACAGACTGAAAGTGAAGGAATGGAAAAAATTTCAATGCAAATGTAAATAAAAAGAAAGTTGGAGTAGCTATACTCATTTCAGACAAAACAGACTTTAAAACAAAGACTATATTAAAAGACAACAAAGGGCAAACATAATGATAAAGGTGTCAACCCAGCAAGAAGATATAACATTTATAAATGTATATGCATCCAGTAGAGGAGCACTAAGATATACAACACAAATATTAACAGACTTAAAGGAAGAAATTGAAAGCAAAACAATAATAGCAGAGGACTTTAACACCCTACTTACATCAATGGATAGATCATCCAGAAAAAAAATCAAAAAGAAAACGTCAAACTTAAATCACACGTTAGATCACACAGACTTAACATATAGAACATTCCATCCAAAAGCACCAAAATATACATTCTTTTCAAGTGCACATGAAACATTCTCCAGGATAGATCATATATTAGATCACAAAAAAAGTCTCAATATAAATTCAGAAAGGCTGAAATCATATCAAGCATATTCTCTGGCCACAATACTATGAAACTAAATATAAATCACAAAAAGAAAATAGTAAAAACCACAGAAACGTGGAAATTAAACAACATGCTACCAAACAACCAATAGGTCACTAAAGAAATAAAAAAAATACCTAGAGACAAATGAAAGCAGAGATACAACGTACCAAAATCCATGAGATGCAGCAAAAGCAGTTCAAAGAAGACCATAGCAATATAGGCCTACCTCAAGAAACGAGAAAAATCCAAAATAAATAATCTAAATTTACACATAAAGGAAACATAAAAAGAATAAATGAAGCTCCACATTCGAAGAAAGGAAATAATAAAGATCTGAGAGGAAATAAATGAAATCGACATTTAAAAAACAACAGAAAAGATCAATGAACCTAAGAGCTAGTTCTTTGAAAAGATAACCAAAATTGACAAATCGTTAGCTAGACTAATCCCCCCAAAAAAACGAAAAGAGGGGACTCAAATAAAATCAGAATGAAAGAGGAGAAATTACAACTGATACCACAGAAATACAAAATTTCATAAGGGACTACTATGAACAATTCTACACCAACAAATTAGACAACCTAGAAAAAACGGAAAATTCCTAGAAACATCCAAGCTTCCAAGACTGAATCATGAAGAAATAGAAAATTTGAATAGAACAATTACTAGTAAGGAGACTGAAACTGTAATCAAAAGCTCCCAACAAACAGAAGTCTAGGATCAGATGGCTTCACTGGCAAATTATACAAAACATTCAAAGAATACCAATCCTTGTCAAACTCCTTCTCAAACTCTTCCAAAAAATTAAAGAGGAAGAAAACCTTCCAAACACATCTTATGAAGCCAGCATTATGCTGACA